AGCTGTGCCAGGGTGGAGCCCAGGATGAAGCAGGAAATGTGCATCAGTCACTCTTCCAACATACGTTTAATGTGGAAATGTGCTGGATGTGGAAAAGTCTAAATCTGAATCATCTTCTTAAAACTAATTCATGGTGGTACCCTTACTTATCTGTGTTAATGTAGCACATTGTCATGTTATTTTGTGTTTAAAGGGCTTAAATACTTAAAATACAAGCTACTTTTATGTAGAAATGTCTACAGAATTTTCTGTTTGTAGTTGCTTTTCTGTTTGCTATGAAGGGAGGTGCAGCCTACTTTTCTATGACATTGACTATTTGTGGGCTAAATGTACCAATAGTGGATGATTGCCTAATTTTCCTATTTGAGCACCTCCTATTTGAGCACCTTCAGGCTATATCAGAAGCTGCGTTCAGACAGAAAATTGTAAAAAAACAAATGTTGCATTTGGCTTACAGGCTGTATGCTCTGGATAGGTTTAAAGTGACACTAAACTTCTTTTAATCTTAAAAAATTATTTAAAGAACCCCAACTATTAACAAAAATGTATCTTATTTGTGTATCACTCGGCTGTAGATCCCCAAGTCTCTTTGAATTGGTGCTGACACTGTCCTTCCTTCTGGAGGTTGGCTACTTTTCTCTCCCCTTTAACAGTAGTTCAGTTCGTAATTTACACTACCAGTAATAAGTTTAGGCTCATCGGCATGCTTCCAGTCAGTATTTAATTCTTCTCCTCCTTATGTGAATTGCCTTTAACCTATGTAACTGTCCTTAACTCTTAGGGCTGGTGCAGACCTGAGCAATCCAGGACGCGGGTCCTGGGATCGCGCGTTCGTGCACAATTGCAGACAGTAATTGCCGCACGGCCCCATTGATTTCAATGTGGTACATCTGTGCGGCAATCGCAGAAAAAAGGTACATGTACCTTTTATTTGCGATGCACCTCGTGATCTGCCCAGCGCGACTGGGGTGCGATTAGAAAATAATACAAAAAAGGTCACAAGCACTCCAGCATGTAGAAAAATGAATGTTTATTGACTTCACAGGTGTCACATCATTAGAGCTGGACATGGCTACAAACTCTGATGATGTGACACCTGTGAAGTCAATAAACATTGACTTTTCTACATGCTGGAGTGCTTGTGACCTATTTTGTATTTCTTGGACTTATTTTGCAGAGGCATCCACGGTCATTTCAGCACCCACCCTACAATTAGGGTTTTCTATCCGGTCAGTAGTGTGATGGGTTCCCCTTCGGTTCTACTGACCCGAAGGGGTCCTGGGGCCGAAGCTAGCCGAAGGATCGGCCGAAGCTACGGCTAGATCCTTCGGCAGTTTCGTGAATAGACCCCTAAGTGTTGCTAAACATCAAAATCGTGATGGCTACCATTGTTTTGGTGGTGCGGGCAATAGGAATTGTGACAGGTATAAAACAATTGGTTTAAATTGTAGGAATACAGGTGATACAAATTAGTTTTCGAGTATTAGTGAGATATAGTTAGCAGATAATTATGGTCCTTTGCTATAAGAATTATTTAGCTATATTTACTGTGGACTAAAGGTGCCCATACACCTTACGACCATCGCAAGACTTTTGTCTTGCGATGGTCGTAAGCTTATTAAAAGCTCGTACGATCTGCCCATCTTGGACAGGCAGATCGTACTTGCGATCATCGAAAGCCCGCCCCGCTGAGAACGGGCAGTGTGCGCGTGCGCACACCGGCCCGTTCCGCAGCTGTCGAAAGAGCAGGCGAGAAACCCGCCAAAAATCGTACGATTCTCGGCGGGTTTTCGAGCATGCTGGTTCGACAAAAGACGTGCGACCGTACAGTAAAAACGGTCGCCCGTCTTCGTTCACACTGCTCGATTCTCATACGATCGAGGGATTTCCCGCGATTCTCCTACGAGAATCGAGTAGTGTATGGGCACCTTAAGACTAACTCTGGACTTTGTCCTCCCTTTTTTATTCTATATGTGTTTCAAGGAAAAGTAAGCAATACATCTTTGTTTAAACCAAGATCGCCAAAGGGACACCCTAGCCAGCATTTTTCAGGCAGATTGGGAAACACTGTTCCCAATCTGTGGGTGACCTGTCCCAATCGTTATTGTTCTTCCTTATACATTAAAACTATTATTAGTTAATAGAACGCTCTGCATAGTGTGTTCTAGGAAGGCTGCATCATCCCTTCAGAGTCTATGGGCAGCTTAGAGGTGACCCTACAATACTGACGAGCAGTACAGTACAATTAGACTAGGGATGAGGAGATAAATACCAAGCAATAATGGGCCCCTGCAACCAGAATATAGATATTTTTCAATATACTGTATTTATATTTTTAAGTAGAAAAGAGAACTATACTCTCACTGTGCATGCATTAAAATGTACCCTCAACCAAGTCAAAGAAAACAATTAGCAGGTCACTGTAGTGCAGAGGTTAGAAAAAACATGGCCATATATCTTACCACTAGTCACTCTAAGGCTGGGCACACACCTTACAACCATCGCAAGACTTTTGTCGTGCGGTGGTTGTAAGGTACTTAAAAAAACATACAATCTGCCTATCTTGGACAGGCAGATCGTACTTGCGATGCGCTTGCGCACACCGGCCCGTCCGGCTTTTATCGTACGAACATGCTACACACCCGCCGAACATCGAACAACGTTGCTCGGCGGGTTTTCGAACATGTTCGTAAGTTAAAAGTCGTACGACCTTACAGTAGTAGAGGTCGCACGTCTTCCACACACCTTACGATAATCGTACCATCATGGGATTTCCCGCGATTATCGTACGATTATCGCATGGTGTGTGGGGACCTTAAGTGAGAGATGTGCCACCTTTATAGTGTTAAATGAAACAACTGCTGGTAAAGTATCACAAAGTTTCTTGACATATATAGAACCTGGTTGTTTGTTATAGAGCTTTAGACAGAGCAGAAGGGAATGTTTGTGGCTGTGGCAGACTGGGAAATAGGAAATAGCCTTGTTCTCTCTGGCTTAAAACCCTATATTTAGCAGTAGCATCATACTTTTATGTTCTCCAAGCTAAACATAGCTGTGCCAGGGTGGAGCCCAGGATGAAGCAGGAAATGTGCATCAGTCACTCTTCCAACATACGTTTAATGTGGAAATGTGCTGGATGTGGAAAAGTCTAAATCTGAATCATCTTCTTAAAACTAATTCATGGTGGTACCCTTACTTATCTGTGTTAATGTAGCACATTGTCATGTTATTTTGTGTTTAAAGGGCTTAAATACTTAAAATACAAGCTACTTTTATGTAGAAATGTCTACAGAATTTTCTGTTTGTAGTTGCTTTTCTGTTTGCTATGAAGGGAGGTGCAGCCTACTTTTCTATGACATTGACTATTTGTGGGCTAAATGTACCAATAGTGGATGATTGCCTAATTTTCCTATTTGAGCACCTCCTATTTGAGCACCTTCAGGCTATATCAGAAGCTGCGTTCAGACAGAAAATTGTAAAAAAACAAATGTTGCATTTGGCTTACAGGCTGTATGCTCTGGATAGGTTTAAAGTGACACTAAACTTCTTTTAATCTTAAAAAATTATTTAAAGAACCCCAACTATTAACAAAAATGTATCTTATTTGTGTATCACTCGGCTGTAGATCCCCAAGTCTCTTTGAATTGGTGCTGACACTGTCCTTCCTTCTGGAGGTTGGCTACTTTTCTCTCCCCTTTAACAGTAGTTCAGTTCGTAATTTACACTACCAGTAATAAGTTTAGGCTCATCGGCATGCTTCCAGTCAGTATTTAATTCTTCTCCTCCTTATGTGAATTGCCTTTAACCTATGTAACTGTCCTTAACTCTTAGGGCTGGTGCAGACCTGAGCAATCCAGGACGCGGGTCCTGGGATCGCGCGTTCGTGCACAATTGCAGACAGTAATTGCCGCACGGCCCCATTGATTTCAATGTGGTACATCTGTGCGGCAATCGCAGAAAAAAGGTACATGTACCTTTTATTTGCGATGCACCTCGTGATCTGCCCAGCGCGACTGGGGTGCGATTAGAAAATAATACAAAAAAGGTCACAAGCACTCCAGCATGTAGAAAAATGAATGTTTATTGACTTCACAGGTGTCACATCATTAGAGCTGGACATGGCTACAAACTCTGATGATGTGACACCTGTGAAGTCAATAAACATTGACTTTTCTACATGCTGGAGTGCTTGTGACCTATTTTGTATTTCTTGGACTTATTTTGCAGAGGCATCCACGGTCATTTCAGCACCCACCCTACAATTAGGGTTTTCTATCCGGTCAGTAGTGTGATGGGTGTGTATGTTTTTTGAACTATTCAAAATAATGACACCCACAGGGGCAATCATCGATGATGGGCGACTTCGACTCCATTGCAGCGCGGTATCGTGCAAAATTGCCGCACGCTCTTGGATCATCCAGGTGTGCACCGGCTGTAAGTTTCACCACACTCAGGTATTCTGTTTTTGGCTTTCAAGTATGGCTGCCACCCTGAATACAAAGATTAGTTTTTGTGTATACAGGCCCGGATTTCCCACAAGGCCACCGAGGCCCGGCCTCGGGGTGTAAAAGTCCATATTTATAAGCATGTACACTACAGGTACCCCTGGTGCTTTTCTAACAATAGTAATTCAGTCAGCAGAAATATCTAAACCCATTTATAATCTTTTCCCAAAAGAGACATCTGCTATAGATCTGCTTATGTCTTGGTTCCTCATAGACATCCTGGTTTTCATCCAGTCCTGCTCACTTCGGCATGATGAGAAAATGATCTAATGTCTGTGGTGACCTTACACAGTAGAGGCTTTCCCTAGTCATTACAGAAATGCATTTCTTACCATCTGGTAACAACGATTCATTCAGGGTTGTGATAATGTGCTTGGAAAGGGAGATCTAGGTAATGCTTTAATTGATACAGGTAATAATAAATAATCAGCATTTTATAGTTCTATTATTAAATACTTATTTTAGTTTTTTTTTTATTCTGCAACTTCCTTACAGGTTTACACTCGTTTTGACAAAAACTGCTGTGGCTTCAGACCTCGAAAAGAAGATACCTGTGTCCAACAAGGTCTACATATAAAATGTGATGACCCCCAGGACACTGACCTAACACACATTGTACAAAGGAAACATGACCCTCGGCACTTGGTCTTCATTGCAAATAAAGGATATTTTGACAGGAGTGAAGATAATTTGAATTTTAAGTTACTTGAAGGAATAAAAGAGTAAGCATCTCAGGCAAAGTTAATGTTCATACATTTTCTTTAATAATCTTCCCATCTTCTCCCCTGGTTTGTTCCCTCTACCTGTTATTTCCCTTTTGCCCCTTTTTCCTTGTTCTTCCTTCATGGTAAACCCCTGCCTTCAATACTGATTTTATTTTGTAGCAGAAACTATGTCTTCTATCTTTTCAGCCAATGAATGCCTATCTCACAGGGTGTGGTAGATACTCTGCTCTGCCAGTTCTGATTGACAACTGTATTAATTAACGAAAAAGTTGTTTTTTTATAAAGTGGGGGAAATTTGCTCAGTAGGTTGCCCTGACTTCCAGATAGCCTTGAAAAAAATCAAAGGAGCCGGGTAGAAAATTGTCAGCTGAGTAGCACTTGCATTCAATCAGATGCATGCACTGTTTAGGTATTTTGATATCCAGCAGGGCTAACTGTTAAAATACAGTAGTCACATCAGGAGATTCCTCTATTAAAGCTGTCTAATCTGGGTGGAGGAATCTATAAAATTATTTGGTTCAGCCTTAAAGCTGAAAGAAAAATATCTAATAGTATATAGCCAGCTTTAGACTCAGGTGCCTTCCCTGTCCTGTGACACAGGTTCTTATTTGCTGGCAATAGAAGAAGCTGTGTGATGCTCAGTCACACACTTCGTGGCTTATTCACACAGCTGCCGAAGGCAGCTGAGTGAATAACCCAACCGAAGTGAAGTGAGCCGAACGCTGTTCGGCTACTCACTTCAGTCTTGTACGGCTGATTTCATGTGCGGCTGAGCCGAAGTGCAGAAGGAGTTCGACTCAGCCGATTCAACATATGGATCGGCTGAGCCAAAGCTCCAGCAGCTCACTCGCTGCCGTTCGCCCTTTTCTCATAGGGGCCGAATGACAGTGAGTGAATAGTCGAGCGGCATTCAGCTCGGCTATTCTGCTTGGTACCTCCGAGGTTCTGAGCAGAATAGAAAAAAAGTGAAAAGAATGGGAAGAAAAAGTTGAATAATGATTTAAAAAATGATAAAAAAATAGGAAAATAAAAATGTTTTAAAGAAAAGAAAAAAAAAAGAAAAACAATTGGGCAGTGCTGTTTCCTATTGGCCCGGAACCTGCCAAAGTCTTCTAGCAGGTCCCGGCCAATGAATAACAACTGGGCGGAGCTGTCCATGATGTCACGGCCGGCTCCACCCAGTTGTTGTTTAATGACAGATCAGCGTCCCCAGGTCATTTGGGAATGCTGATCTGTTATTACAACTCGGCGGAGCGAGCTGTGAGAAAACCACACGCTTGTGTCACTACAGTTCGGCTGATGTACGGGCTGTTGTGAGTAGCCTGTACAGCAGCCCTTTGGTTCAACTAAACCGAAGGGCTCCGGCGGCGGAAGTGAGCCGAAGGATCACCTTATTTTCTGTCTAGTAAAAAGTAAGCAGGTGTGGGGAAGTATCTCTAACAAAGTCCCGGATAACAATAAAAACCTGAAGGTAGTTCTAACCCTTCCTTGCTCTATCCAACACAAATGGCTGGACATACAATTTATTAGCAGAAGTGGGGAAGGTTACTGTTAGATCAGACATTCCTCTTGCTTTGACAACCCCAGACATGAGCCCTTAGTGCCTAAAGGGAGATATGCATATCACAAAGAAAATATTTTCATAATGTTGATGTTAATACACTAAAGTTTTTTGTTTTTTTTCCACCCGTTCCAGGTTACCTGAATCTGCTGTTTCAGTGTTAAAAAGTCAGAAACTCAGAGAAAGACTCCTTCAGTCATTTTTTCTGGACAAGGTCTTCTGGGAAAGTCAGAGAGGACGTCAAGGGATCGAAAAACTTATTGATGTAATAGAAAGAAGGGCCAAAATCCTGCTGACTTACATCAATGCCCATGGAATTAAAGTCATAGCAATGAATGAGTAAATTGACCAATCACCTCAAAGAACTGAGCAAGTAAAATCAGAAATGTTATGTGACGTTTACTTGAAACAGTAAAATACACAAAGACATGGCCAATTTATTATGGGAGGCCTGGTCTTCTAGTAGTAAGTGTGGAGTAATAGTGTATACACTGTGCTATTGCACTATCGTTACTGAATTACCGTCAATAATTCATGAATGTCTTTTTATGTTTGGATCGGGTAAAAGAAAGTTGGTGAGATAAACTGGTCAGAAAAGTTGATGCAAATATTTATCTGCTAACATTGTATGTTGCATGTTTCAGTTCGAATGAAGCATCATTATAGGACTGATTGGTATTCTATAATCTGCAGTTTGGTGCTAAAATATGAAATTGTGGTTTATGGAAAAGTATATTTTCCTTGTAATCATGCCTTTAGAATATATAACATAGCTTTCATTTTCCTATTTCATGTTTTCAAAAATATATTTTCATTCACATTGCACCAAAGGCACTTAAAGTAGAACTATGGTCTCCCATGTGCTGCAGCACTTGACTGTAAGGTCATCTTCATGTACAGTTTTCACATAGTCCTCTTGAAAAGTCTACAAATACCTGTTGATCCTGCCAGTAAAGTCCACCTCATGCAGCTTCCTGTGATAGTGTGACAACACAACTGCACTACTCCTGAATTCAGAGCAGCATTACCACCCTTATGTAGACTATGCCTGCTTGCACTACAGTGGGATAAAAATGTTGCAGGTGGTGGGGCTATTAACATTGTTAATGCTGATTCACAAGACTGTAGCTTGTCAATCATCACTTATCCACACCTAGTGCTGCCCACTGCTTTCTAGATTAACAGCACTGCCTTTGTTGCTGAAACCCTCCAACTGTAACCTGCATTGTCTGGGAAGAGGTGCATGTACATTACAAATGAAGATGAATTTGGCTCACTCAGGGGAGCAAAAGGATGTTTATTTTACTTTATACAGCTTGTGCATTACATATTAACTGGTTTTAGAAATTGTTTAGGCTGCCACACAGGATGCTTTAGATGTACTTCTAAGTGACCCTTTCAGCCCAATTAGGAATAACATACCTGTAAAAAAAAGCTCTATACTTACCTTTCTGACAGCTCATTTGTTGAAACACAACCTCTTCAGTGTCTGCCGGCCGAAGCAGGTACTCATTAAGCCAGATGGGTATAACACTTGTTTCCCCCACTATTACAATGGTTCCTCCCACTGGCACGAATACGTCTTGGTCTGAAACCACAGCTTACACCAGATGACCAGGTATTCCACACACCTACATATGGAATATATGCAACGGCTGGTGAGCATTGAAGAAGTGGCATTTCAACAAATGGAGATAATGAGGTCACCAGCACACTAAGGTCCACTTCATCGATCCATCTTTTATTGACGTTTAGATAAACATGGTATCACAAGCAAATGCAATGTTTCGGGAACCACCTGTGGTCCCTTCAGGAGGCAAAACAATGCTTTGCCTGACACCATATTTATCTAAACGTCAATAAAAGATGGATTGATGAAGTGGACCTTCGTGTGCTGGTGACCTAATTATCTCCTTTAGTCTAATGGTGCCCATACACTGCTCGATTCTCATACGAGAATCGGGCGAAATCCCGCGATCGTACGAGAATCGAGCAGTGTGCACGTCTTTTGTTGAGCCAACATGTTCGAAAACCCGCCAACATGTTCGAAAACCCGCCGAGAATCGTACGATTCTCGGCGGGTTTCTAGCCTGCTCGCCCGATAGCTGCGGAACGGGCCGGTGTGCGCACGCGCACACTGCCCGTTCTGCATTGCCGTCATCGGAAGCCCGCCCCTCGCAAGTGATCGCAAGTACGATCTGCCCGTCCAAGGTGGGCAGATCGTACAGGCTTTCAAGAAGCATACGACCATCGCAAGACAAAGTCTTGCGATGGTGGTAAGGAGTATGGGCACCTTTACGGTGCCATCCGTTGGCTATTTCAGCACCCATTCGAGCTACACATTAGTATATGTCTGTTTTGAGTGCAATGGGATACCTTTGAATTATATTTCTGCAAAATTTAAGTTAGTAAGGCGCAGTCGTGTATTCATCAGCTTAGTCAGTTGTACTGTGCCAGTAAATGTTCACACTTTTGTTTAAACTTGGGGGAGTTAAAGACACAGCTCATCTACTCAATGTGCCTGGAAAAAGAAGCCTCAATGAGCAAAGAGATTAGGAATATGTTATTTCATAATGCATGTCTCTCACTCAAAATGAACATAGAGAGCCATTAGGAGAACGTTCTCATGGACTCAGTTTGATTCAGTCAATAATGCAATGAGAAATGTTGACAGGCAAGTAATAAACGCCAAATTCAAGCATTCAGAAATAATTTGCTACCTAACACAACTACAGTAAGATGATAGATGAAGAGGTTATTTCATTTTGTATAATCATTGATTTTTGTACATCCTCATTGCATACACTAGATTGTTCCTCTGTTGTTAAACGTTTCTCAGGATTGCAGTAAAGCTTCTATACAAATACGATCAAATTAAATAGATTCTAAAATGGATTTAGATTGATGATTTCACAGCCTCACTTTTTTATACTGTAAATATGTTTTGTAATATATTAACATTTAGTACACTGATACTAGTTATTAAATATATTTTACTTTATTTCTGGTACACACAATAATCACATATTTAGCTGACAATACAAATGTAAATCTTTATTAATATTACAAGGATCAGTGTAATACACAAAAAATACAATACAAAGGTTTTATACATTTGTTACAACAGCAAACAGTACACTTTGAAACAATATAACAGACATGGTTTCAGTTTATCCTGCTTTCATACAGGACCAAAATTTTGGAGGTGGTTTATAGAAACTGGAACAAGAATAGAGGTGTTGCCCATAACAATCAATGATTATTTGACTTTTTGTTCCTAATAGAGGTAACAGAATAAATGCTAACACAGCTGAGTGGTTACTTTGGGCAATGGACCAGTTTTTCTTTTGCTGCAGTTTTTATATTAACTATGTTCTCCTTGTTATTGCTTTTTCTTGCAGCTTTTTATTTTTTTTAATGTAGGAATGGAGTGTTGGTCCTTTAGACTGACATTGTTATAAAATCATTGTGGACTATGACAGCAAATGATGAAGGCAGCAACTACAGGACAGAGGAGGTTAAATGAATGGAAATGGTTATTCGCTCTTTAAATGGTCAATATATTTAGTGTATTTGCATTTTCAACTCAACCTTTAGATTGCACAAAGTCGGCAAATAATTAGGTTCATTTTATATACCACCCTGATCCAGCGAGACATTACCTAGACACTCCCGTATACGTTTTAACTTAACTATTACCAAAAATGTATCTTATCAGCGCACGCGTGTGCGCGTGATGTCAATGGCATGCACGGCCATCTTGGTGTTACCTGCCAGCAGCCATCTTGGTGATGGATGCCAGCAGAAATAGGAGGGGATGTTCACCCGGTGGGATAAGGTATGCTGCCGGGTCCCCTCCTCTATCCTGCAACTGTCAGGCTCTTGGTCCATGGCCGACTTTTCAGAGGGCGTGCCACCAAAATGACTGTCCTCCAATGGTGTCACCCGGCTACTGGCCGTACTTCCTTAGTGACGCCACTGTATCTGAGAATCACTCGGCTGTAGCTCCCCAAATCATTTCTGAATTGGTGCTGACACAGTCCTTCCTTCTGGAGGATGGCTACTTTTGTTCCTCATGGCCCCTGTGTGTGTTGTAAAGTAGCAACCGCTCCAAGCTTGCTCCTGCGATTGACTACAATCTCAATACAAATGAGTAAACTAAAGATGAGATTGTAGTCCATCATGGGAGTGAGCTTGGAGCGGTGGCTATTTTACAACACACAGGGACCATGGGGAACAAAAGTAGCCACTCTCCAGAAGTAAGGACAGTGTCGACATGAATTCAGAGATGATTTGAGGATCTACAGCTGAGTGATACGCAAATAAGATTGTTAATAGTTAAGGTACTTGAATGTATTTTTAAGAATTAACTCCTGCATTTAGTGTCATTTTAAATATCTCATGCACACTCTTCCCCGCTTCCCAATCCAACTATCATATTCACAATGCTCAGCCCTGGTGGTGGGAAAGAAAGTACACAATCCCTTTTTTTGCTTTTGTGCACTTATTACTTTGCTATTATATTAATTATTTATTACTATAGGTAAAGTAAAGTTATGAATTAAAGCTGAATTCCAAGGAAACAGCTTAATGTACGGTGAAAATACGTATATGGGAACTTCTTTACCTGTCAAAACATTTGTGACTCTTTATATCTAGTCTAGTGATTGAGGCACCCCTGTCGAAAACCTCATCTGGAGTACGCGGTCCAGTTCTGGTCACCAGTACTAAGAAAAGATGTCCTTGAGTTGGAAAAAGTCCAGCGGAGGGCAACCAAACTAATTAGGGGTATGGAGGACCAATTTAGAGGACAAGGCTACTAAATTTAAACATGTTCACATTGGAGGTGAGGAGATTGAGGGGGGATATGATCTCCATGTACAAAATGTTCAATGGTGGCAGCGATAAACTGTTTAAAATTAACTCCATTACAAAAACTAGAGGCCACCACCTAAAATTGGTGGAAAAAAAATTCCAGCACAAGGGGCGAAGGGGGTTCTTCACAGTAAGATCAGTTAGGGTCTGGAACTCACTGCCACAGACAGTGATTTCAGCAAAGAATGTGGAATTGTTCAAGAAACTTTTGGACGATTTCTTAAGGGACCGTAATATACAGGGGTACAGGTACTCCTAGAATGAGATCCTAATAGGTTGGACTTGATGGACTAATGTCTTTATTCAACCTCAAATACTATGTAACTATGTAACTATGAAAAGCAAAGCCATGTCATTAACCTCCACTGCAGCAGCGCAGCTTGACAAAGTATGCCTCTCAGCCTGTAGATTAGACAGTGAAAGACCATCAGTAATGAATTAACATATTGCTCACTCTGCTGTCTTATGCTGCCAGCATGTTTACTGTCAGAACTGCACAGATTAGCTCCTAGTACCCTTCCAGGTTTGAGTCCTGCAGTGCA